TCTTCGGCCTCTAAGCACTGGGATCCCATATGGGCACTGGTTCTTGTCCTGGCTGCTCGACTTCCCATCTGGCTCCCTGCTTGTGGCATGGGAAAGCAGTCCAGGATAGCTCAAGGCCTTGGGACCCTGCACCTGTGTGGGAGACCTGGAAGAATCTTCAGCTCCGCTTAACTCCAGCAGTTGCAGCCACTTGGACAGTGAACCAAAAGATGAAATATCTTTGTCTCTCCTTTTCTCTGTAAATCTGATCTGCCTTTCTAATAAAAATAAATACACTTAAAAAAAAAGTGGCCTATTGTGTGTGCCTTCTTTCAGCCAGCAGCATGTTTCCAAGGTTCTTCCATGTTGCAGCTTGTATCTGAACATCATTCCCTTTTATGGCTAAATAATATCCCATTGCACAGGCCACGCTCTGTTGATCTGTGCCTTGTTGACGGAGACTTGGGTTGTCTCCATGTTTTGTCTACTATGTGCGTCAGAAACGTCTGCTGGTTGTGACAGGTGTGTGCCTCCTGCCATTTCCTGGAATGTGGAGACCCAGGCTGCTTGTTGGCTTATCCTGGACCACCAACCTGCCCTGCATGTCATGCTCCCAAACCGGGACTGTGGTGTGAATGGCATTCCCCTGGAAGTGTTTGTTGGGGGCGATCTCAAGTTCCCCTGCTGGGCTGGGTACTGGCCCCTCAAAACAAGGCTATGGACCCAGAAAAATGTTGACAACATGATAGGGGGCAGAAAGGGTGGGGGAAGGAAATGGGGGATTTGAGGAACTCCCCTCACCCCAAGCTGCAAACAGACAAATCTCAGCTGTTCAGATCTGGCCAGTGTTTTTCAGAAGGGCATTTGGAGCAGGAATGCTGAAGCGAGATGTACCAGGGAGTGGTCAGTTCAGACACCTGGTCAGGAGTTTGGAAAATGCCGCCAGAGTCTTGTCTCACAGGCAGCATCAGCTCAGGGTTGTGTAACCTGTCACACACAAGAACATGGATGGGTAAAGGGTTATCTGCATTGTAGCTGGAAGGGCAGGTTCGAGAGGACTGAAGAAGAAAAAGAGAGAGAGATCTTCCATCTGCTGGCTCATTCCCCAAATGTCTGTAAATGCAGAAAAGCTACAGATCCTACTGTTATTTGTTATTTAAATGCTTCCAGGGCCTGGTACAGTAGCCTAGTGGCTAAAGTCCTCACCTTGAACACGCCGGGATCCCATATGTGTGCCAGTTCTAATCCCAGCAGCTCCACTTCCCATCCAGCTTCCTGTCTGTGGCCTGGTAGAGCAGTTGAGGATGGGCCAAAGCCTTGGGACTCTGCACCCATGTGGGAGACCTGGAAGAGGCTCCTGGCTCCTGGCTTCAGATTGGTGCAGCACTGGCCGTTGTGCTCACTTGGGGAGTGAATCATCGGAGGGAAGATCTTCCTCTCTGTCTCTCCTCCTCTTATATATCTGACTTTGCAATAATAATAATAAAAATAGTAAATGCTTCCAGCAGAAACTGGCCCATGGACTGGGAGAACAGGAATACCTGCTTATGCATGACCTCTTGGAAAACTCTAGAACAAAAATGATACTTCCACAAATAGCATCAGTTCTGCCTTGGCTCAGGGCACCTGCACCAACCCGGCAGCCACCACACCAAGGACTTAATGTGGTGTTGCTAATCACTCCGGCACATCACCCTCTTAATCCACACCAGGTGGATTTAACAGGCATCAATTAGGAAGGTGTTGGGCACCGCGACGATAGCCCCACGTGAGCACCTGCGGGAAGTCACTGTCTCAGGGCTGGAGGGACAGGGAGCGCTCCGCAGTCTGCCAGTCAACCCCCTGCCACGTCTCCCATTGGCTGAAAGCAGCCGGAAGTCCCGGAAGAGGCCTGAGGAACGCCGGGGAAAGGACGGCAGTTTACCTGAGGAGGTAGAGAGAGAGAGGCTAAGGGGCTCCCAGTGACCCCCACGCTGCTGTTCAGCAGAGGCTGACCAAGTGCCTGCCGTGAGTGGGGCTGTGAGCCGGGCTGTGTCGGCTGCTGCACGTTGCGGCCAGTCAGAGCTGTTTCTGTGTAACTGGGGACACATCACCTCCCCGGGCAAGTCCAGTCCAACGTATGGATATTACACAAATAAACAAACACTTAAAGATCACCAGGGGCCAGCACTGTGGTGTAACAGGCTAAGCCTGTGCCTGAATTGTGAACTTGCCACACGGGCGCCGGTTGGAGTGAACTTGGAGCAGCCCGTGTGGCAGCACTCAGCCGCCGGGGCGCGCGGCCGGGCAAGCGGGTGGGTCTGGGCGGGAAACGCTTTCTGCAGATGAACCTGGGGTTTTCTGCTTCTCCCCTACAGCAAGAATCCCTCTCCGCGCGAGTGCTTCAGCACCTCATTCCTGTGCGTGTGTGTGTGCGTGTGTGTGTGTGTGTGTGTGTGTGTGTTGGAGGACTGTACTGAGCCACGGCCGTGTGCTTGGTGTCTTCTGCGGACAGCAGTGAAAAAAAAAATAACACAGAAATTTCTGTTTCCAATATGAGCGGGAGAAACTACTACTCAAGGACCACAGGCAGAGGTAGTAGCAGTTAGGTCCAACTGATTGTTTGAACATGTTTATGGAAAATGAACATTGGAAGGCAAGAGTTTTCCTTCAGAGAGACGAGACACTCAGCAAAGGGTGTGTCGGGGGCGGGTTTGGCTGCAAAAAGGGAACGTGACGCAGGCGTGAGGGTTGGCAAGCTTGTGTGGAAATTCCAGCCGTCCGGCAGGCGGTTCCAGGAACTCCCTCGGAGAAGGCGAGGACAGAACGGGCGGTCTGGAAGAGGCGCCCCGGCGCGAGCCCCGCGTTTCCCAGGAAGCGCCAAGGGCGCCGGGCAGGGAGGGCGGCATGAGGGGCCGAGGGCGCGGGCCAGGGAGGAAGGCAAGGGGCAAGGGCGTGCGTGGGGCCCTGTGACGTCTGTGGCATGCCACTCCAAGGGGACACGGGAGTCACGTGAGGGGCCGGAGCCGACTGGTGCACCTGCCTTTTGTGTGCAGTGGACAGGGCGGGAGGGCCAGCCACACGGCTTCCCGCCCACGCGCGACGCTGCAGCACGCCGGCCGGCACGGCGAACCCGCGTGAAGCCACTTTCAAACGCTGCCGCGGCCGCGCGTCAGCAGGAAGAGGCGGGCTCTGCCCGGGAGGCTGGGCTGTGTGCTGCGTTGCCATAGAGACTCCGGCGCGCGGACCGGGCTCTGCAGCAACGCACTGTGTGCAGAGATCGCGCGGGTGAGCAGGTGCAGGTAGGCATGGGCTCAGGACTGGCCCCAAAACGTGTAGCCCTACCCTGCCCACCCTTCGTGGCAGTCCTTATGATTGTTTCATATCCCGACAACCGGGGAGGGTTGTGCCCAGCCGCCCTTGGCAGGTTTTCTTGCATGAAGATGGCAGCTTCCACTCAGGTAGTGGAGTGTGTACTTTATTGATGAAGTGTTAAGTAACACGCAGAGTTGGGATTCTTTTACAATCCCTGAATAAGCAAAGCCGAGAGTGGCAGCTTGGAACTGATTTAGCATATGCACCGCTCTGAACTTCTGCTAACCACTCTTTTTATTTATTTGTTCATTTGAGTCAGATTGTTGCTAGTGTGGTGGCACATAAGCTAATCCTCCACCTGCAAGTGCTGGCTTCCCATGGGAGCAGCGGCTGCTTTCCATGTCACTCCAGTTCAGATTCAGCTCTCTGCATACGGCTTGGGAAAGCAGGCCCAAGGCCTGCTACAGTGTCCTCTAGGCAACCCTAGTATTCAGCCAGGAGTGCAACCCACACTGCTGGCCAGCTCTCCCAGCTCCGTCTCCTGCCCCAGCCCTTCCCAGGGTCTCCATACTTCCCCCATCATTCTGTGAGTAAAGGTATGTGAACCAGCTAATTGAAGTGTGGGGTTTTGGTATAAGATATCAAAGCTGGTTCCTTTAAAACAAAACAAAAAAAGTACTCAGAACTTTCAAACACCCTCGGCAGGGTGGTAGGTCGGAGGCCTGTGTAGGGTGGCAGGCCCAGGAAACAGGTTCTGGATGGCTGGGACATGATGTCTTTGTAAGCCCTGTGGACCTTAGGGTGGAGGCGCTGTCATGATCAGCCAGCCCCTGTGCTTGCTGCGGGCTCAGGTCTGATGGGAGTGTGTGTGTGGAGCCCCAGGGCCCATGGGGAAAGTCGGTGGTATCACTGGCGTGCAGTAAAGAATAAAGTTAGGAAAAGACTGTGCCACTTAGCACAAGCCCTGTAGTGATAGATGGACATGGCTATCTTCAATGGAAGGCTTAGGGATGTGAGAAGCACAAGTGAGGGCTCCAAGTGCCCCTGCAGCTCCACCAGGCAGGTCTGGCAGGAGAGCTGGGCCAGTGAAAACCCCCGCCAAGCGGTGGGAAGCAGAGGCTACCTGGTGTGCCTGAGGCTGTCCATTTAGCTGCAAAAATCAAGGGTCCCTCTGTCATAGGCCAAACCACTCCAGAGGCAGCTTTTTGGTTAACAAGCTCTGCCAATGGCTCCCATCACCAGGTGGATGAGGCAGGAATGAGGTGGCTACAGAACCTGGCTTGAGCCACTGGGCAGCTGATTGCCAGCCCAGCTCCCCTGGCATGGATCCAGCACCAGGCACCGCCCAACACTTGGCATTGGGGGTACCTCTAGTCTTAGGATCAACACTTGCCCTCGTAAGTCCACCTGGTGCTAAAAGTAGCTTCTCTCTGATGCCATCACAAACCCTGGTTCCTACTGGTCTCCCTGGGTTCCCAAGTAATTATGTCATCAGACCCCCTGAGGGGGCCCCAGCAGAACAGGACAGCCCAGGGTCAGCCCAGCACTGAAGAATTCCCACCAAGGGGGCTGTTCACCTGCCCTGGGGACTCGAAACACACATGACATAACCCACTTGACGTGTCAGGTGCCTTCCCAGGAAGTCCCAGGGCCCTGGTGTTAGACGTGGCACACTGAGCCTCTGATGTCCCTACCCTCGTGCCATCACCCTCTGGCCCTGCAGAAGCATGCCCATCTCCAAGTGTCTGAAGAAGTCAGAGCCTCCATGGAAGGAGTGGGACCAGAAAGCTCAGAAGAATGGGCTGAGGCACCAGGTGTTCGCTGTCAATGGTGACCACTACGTGGGCGAGTGGAAGGACAACATGAAGCATGGTGAGTGGGGAGCCCCTGGCATGGGCGCTCCGGCAAACAGTGTGGCCATTAGGGCCAAGAAAGCAGGATACAGAGTTCATCAGAGACATAGCAAGTGTTCCTAGGACTTCCCTGAGAGACAAGGGCTGGCCCAGAACAACCAGGCAGGGGGCAGGGGCTTGCTCTGCAACAGGCTGGAGCTCTGGAACCGGCCTCGGCCCTGATGCCAGCTGAGCAAAAGTCTTTGCGAGCAGCAGGGACAAGGGGGCTGGAGAGGCCAGCCCACCCTCTGCGCCCTGGGCAGAGCTCACTGGAGGAAAGAGAACCAACCTGTTGCCGAAAAACCAACTTGCTACTGGAGTGTGACTCAGCCCCAATGCTCCAGGGACAGCAGGACAGGTGCCCCTATCTGCATTGAAGGGAGCTGGGGCTACTGGGCTGGGCTCAGTACCGACCACTAGGGGGCGAGAAGGGTCTGCTAATTCAATGGGAAAATGAGTTTTTATCCAAAAACTTTGCAGCTCACCAGATGTGTGATTTTTTTTTAAGAGATTTATTTTTATTATTATTTTTTCATTGGAAAGGCGGATATACAGAGAGGAGAGACAGAGAAAAAGATCTTCCGTCCGATGATTCACTCCCCAAGTGGCCACAACAGCCAAACCTGCACCTATCTGAAACCAGGAGCCAGGAAATTCTTTCTGGGACTCCTCTCGGCAGGTGCAGGGTCCCAAGGCTTTGGGTCATCCTTAACTGCTTTCCAAGGCCACAAGCAGGGAGCTGGATGGGAAGTGGGGCTGCTGGGATTAGAACCGGCGCCCATATAGGATCCCGGGTGTATTCAAGGACTTTAGCTGCTAGGCCACCGTACCGGGCCCTCCAGCTTCCTTCTAACACACACACTGGGAGGCAGCATTGATGGCTCATGTATGTGCGTCCCCGCCACCCACTTGGGAAAACCAGATTGAATTCCTGGCTCCTGGCTTCTTCCTGGTCCAGGCTCAGTTGTTGTGGGCATTCAGAGAGTGAAACAGTACATTGTAGATTTCTGCTTCCCTTCCCACCCCTGCCACTCTCTCTGTCTTTTAAATTAAAAAGGAGGTTGGGGTCAGGAATGATATCTCATGGAACAATAAGGTGACATCTAGCAAGTACTTAGCCCAGGGTCTGTGCAGAAAGGGAACTTCTAAGGCCTGGCGCAGTAGCCTAGGGGCTAAACCCTCCCCTTGCTTGTGTTGGGATCCTATATGGGTACCAGGTCATATTCTGGCTGCTCCACTTCCCATTTAGCTTCCTGCTTTTGGCCTAGGAAACTAGTCTAGGATTGCTTAAAGCCTTGGGATCCTGCACCTGCATGGGAGTCCTGGAAGAAGCTCCTGGCTTCAGATTGGCTCAGTTCCGGTCGTTGCAGGCATTTGGGGAGTGAACCAGCACATGGAACATCTTTTCTCTCTGTCTCTCCTTCTCTCTGTATATCACTGCCTTTCTAATATAAAAATAAATGTTAGAAAAAGAAGAAGAAGAAAGGGAACTTTTAGCATGTTTTTTGAGGGCTGGGTGTATCAGCGGTCACTATTCAAAAGCTTCCTTATCCAAGATGCCTTCCAAAACTAACACCACCCACGATGAGGCAGCACACTTCCCCTCAGCTCCTCCTACCAGGTGGGACTGTGTGGCTGTCTGAACTGTGTGTGGTCATTTCTCATGAGCAGTGTGGGTGAGGCCTGGGCTGGGATCAGGACGTGGTAGTTCTGACCTCAGCCCTACCACTGAATTGCTGGGTGGCCTCAGGCAGGTGCACTCCCGTTCTCTGGATCTTGGCTTGCGCATGTGGCCTTTCTTAGCTTGCATCTGCTCATGTCCTGCCTCCCTCAGGTCCTGGAGATGCAGAATTGCCAGACCTCTGTCTAAGAAGCCAGGCCCCACCTCTCCCCAAGAATCACCTTGGATCATGTTGAAGCTGCTGTGGTACAAACAGATTGGAAGTGGTTAGGAGAGTCACTAGGCAGGGCAAGGACAGGGTGGCTGCCCCTTCCATCTATAGACATATGTGAGCTGCCAGCTCCTGCCAGGCTCTTGCTGGGCACCTGACATGATGCCAGCTCGCAGGGAGCTCTGAGTTTTGCAGGGGGTCTGCCAGCACAAAAGGGTAGCCTCTCCAAAGGTGAGGCTCAGACATCAGCGTGTGAATGGGACATGGAAGGGCTGTCTGAGGGCGATGTGGGCTCCAAGCCTGACAGAGTGAGTTTGAGTCAGCCAGGCAGAGGGAGCAGAATGAGGAGCCATAGCACTGGAAGGAGCAAGGCTTGGTTCCCAGCACTGAGCGAGTGAGGGAGTGGAGGTTAGTGTCAGCCATATGGCCTCATGGGCTGCAGTGAACTTGGCCTTTATCCAGGAGGCAGACAGTCAAGGGCTTCCCTAGAGAGGCCGTGGTCAGCCCTTGCTGCGTCCTCACCATCTCTGCTGAAAGAGCAGCCGCCCCATGACCTAGGAAGGACCCACCTGCTGACACCACAGCAGTTCTTGGGCACCCACTATGTGCTAGAGCGCATTCCAACTCTGGAGGTGCAGCCCTGAGGGGGACAGAGACCGGGGCTCAGGACTGAGCAAGGGCCAAGAGAGGAGCTTTGCAGGGCCAACATTCTAGGATGAAGGAAAATGAAGGAGCCAGTGAGGCCCAAAGTGTGTGTGTATGTGTGTGTCAGAGTGAGGAAGAGCGGGAGGTCAGGGACGTGGCATGTGGTGGGGTCAAGCAGGCCCTTGGAGGCTGCGGTGAGGACGTTGGGTTTTACTCTGAGGCAGGGCGGTTTTGGGCAGAGGAGTGAAGTGGTCTGACCCATGTCCTCCACACTCACCCTGGCCACTGTGTTGTAGATGCGTGAGTGGTGGGAGGCGTGGGTGGGAGTTTTAGTGAGATCAGACTGCCGAGAGGCCCTCGTAGGCATCCAGGGAAGCAATTGGAGGATAAACCATCTTTTCCACTAAAAGGACAGGAATATGATACCTACCTTCCACATCAGAGTGCCCGGGTTTGGTGGTACATTAGCAGGGAGCTGGATTGGAAATGGAGCAGCCGGGACTTGAACCAGTATCTATACGGGATGCTGGCCTTGCATGTGTCGACTTAATGTGCAGTGCCACAATGCAGCTCCTTCTGGGTCTCCCACACGGGTGCAGGGTCCCAAGGCTTTGGGCCGTCATCGACTGCTTTCCCAGGCCACAAGTAGGGAGCTGGATGGGAAGTGGAATGGCTGAATTACAAACTGGTGTCCATATAGGATCCTGGCACGTGTAAGGCGAGGATTTTAGCTACTATGCTGCCACGCTGGGCCTGGTCCTCCATCTTTGATCCAGTTTCCTACCAATGCATTTTTCGAGGCAGCAGCTGATGGCTCAAATGCTTGGGTGCCCACCACCATGTGTGAGACCTGGATAGAGTTCCCAACTCCTGGCTTCGACTTGGCCCGGCCCTGGTGCTATGAGCATGCGTGCGAGGCCTGGAAGCCCTCTCTGTCCTTCAGAGAAATAAATGCATTAACATTTTTAAAAGAGGTGGAGCTGAAGCCATGAGGCACGGATTTCTGTTGGGTGTTTGCTGTGTTTATCATGTATCAGGGCAGAAGGCTAGGGAAACACTGGAGAAACGGAACTTTACTGGCTCTAGAAATGAGACCCAGATCCTGCCCTCGCCCTGGTAGGCACCCTCTTCCCCCTCCCTGGGGCAACCACGTCTGCCAGAAGAAGAAGAAAAGCAAGAAAATGCTTGGCCCCTTTGTGTGTCTCCAGGGAAAGGAACACAGTTCTGGAAGAAGAGAGGAGCCATCTATGAGGGGGAGTGGAGGTACGGGAAGCAAGATGGCTACGGCACCCTCAGCCTTCCCGACCCGGGCACGGGGAAGTACAGGAGAGTCTACTCGGGCTGGTGGCGGAACAACAAAAAATCGGTGAGCGTGCCTGCCTGAGTGTGCATGCAAGAGAGCATTGTGTGAGCACATGTGAGTGTGAGCATGTGTGTGTGAACAAGTGTGAGGACACGTGTGTAAATGTGTGCGTGGATGAGCATGTGTCAGTGTGTTAGTGAATGAGCACTGTCTGTGAGTGTGAGCATGTGGGTGGGTGTGTGTCTGAATGAGTGTGTGCCACTGAGCAGGGGTGGGGGCAAGTGTGTGAGTGCATGAATTTCTGAGTGTGAGCATGTGTTTGCATGTGAATAAGCATGTGTGAGTGAATGAGTCCATAGAAGCCTAAATGTCTGAGTGTGTGTGAGAGTATGTGGTATACAAATATGTGTGTGTGTGTGTATGTGTGATCAGGTTTGGGCAGGGGTAGAGGAGCCTGGGAGAAACAGGCGGGAGCTCTACCAGGGGAAGGATTGCATTATGGGAGGGCAGGAGGCAGATGGGGTGGGGGAACAGTCTAGACTTCTCAGAACAAAACCCAGGAAACAGGAAGCAGGCAGAGAGGGCCCTGGGGGAAGCACAGTAAACCCTGTGGCTTCTGAGTCTCTGGGCTCCTGGGGGGTGAGGTCTCCTCTCCCCCCACCTCCAGCTTCCTGGCTTTCTTTATGCTGGGTATCCTTTTGTGAGAATTCATCTTCTGTTTGGGGCCTGGGCGAGCAGGGAAGGAACCAGAAGTGTTGGCCAGGAGAGCAGAGGTCACAGCGTTGGCCGCAGGATGGGAGGAGTAGGTCCCAAGGAGCAGAAGGCAGCCAGAGGCAAGACCTGGGACCGTGAGCACCCAAACTGGGGACAGATGCCCCCTGTGATTGTTCACAAAACTCCCTGGGCCATTGCCATCCAACACCTGCCGTTGTGGCGGGAGCAGGTGTGTGTGACTTCAGTCAGGCTCACAAACTACCAGCGTTGTCTTCCACTGAAGACCCCAAACCAGAGAAAGGGAGTGTCTTGCTCCAGGTCCCGTCGCTGGGAAATGGCAGAGCGTGGGACTCCTTTCTCTCTCTCTTTTTAAAGGGTTTATTCATTTTTATAGGAAAGGCAGAGTTACAGAGAGAAAAGGAGATACAGAAAGAAGGATCCTCCATCTGCTGATTCACTCCCCCAGTGACTGCAACAGCTGCAGCTGAGCCAACCCAAAGCTAAGAACCAGGAACTTCTTCCAGGTCTCCCATGCAGATGCAGGGTCCCAAGGCTTTGGGCCATCCTCTACTACTTTTCCAGGCCACAAGTGGGGAGCTGGATGGGAAGTGGACCAGACAGGACTCCAACGGGTGCCCACATGGGTTGCCAGTGGAGGCTTACCTCACTACTCCACGGCACCGGCCTTTATTTTTCAGGGTGGACAGAGAGATCTTCCATCCACAGAGTCACTCCCTAAGTGTCTGCATACCAGGATCCTGGAGCCAGAGGAGGCTTTATTACAGTCTCCCACTTGGTGGGGGGTGGGAGCACTCAGGCCACCTTCTGCTGCTTTCCCAGCCACTTCAGCAGGGAGCTGGATGAAAACAGAGCAGCCAGTACCCAAGCTGAGCCCATGTGGAGGATCCCAGCGCTGCAGGCAGGGGCTGTACCCTCTAGCCCAGTGCCGGCCTGGGATTGTTGAGTTGGTTTTTTTGGCTCATCATCCTCCTCTGCAGGTGAACACAGAGTAATGTTTATGTTCTTTATTTTAAAAGTTTGTTTTGGGGCCCCAGCAAGGTAGCCTAGTGGCTTAAGTCCTTGCCTTGCATGCGCCAGCATCCCATATGGGCTCCAATTTGTATCCTGGCAGCTCCACTTCCCATCCAGCTCCCTACTTGTGGCCTGGGAAATCAGTCAAGGACGGCCCAAAGCCTTGGGACCCTGCACCCATGTGGGAGGTCCAGAAGAGGCTCTGGGTTCCTGGCTTGGGATTGACACAGCTTTGGCTGTTACAGCCGCCTGGGGAGTGAATCATCGGATGTAAGATCTTCCTGTCTCTCCTCCTCTCTGTATATCTGACTTTGCAACAAAAATAAGTAAATCTTTTAAAAAAGTAAATAAATTAAAAATTTCTATTATTGATGATGTTGACATAGTTTAGAAGGATGCATGCCCATGTGGACCACTGATGGGAAAGTAGATGAGACCATTATTTCCAAGTTTTCTTTTCTTCTTCCTGCATCTTGGGGAAGTATGGAGAAAAGGGTAGAAGCTACACCCAGCCTCCTAGCCGCATCAATAGCTGGGGATGGGTAGCAGCCACCCGGTGTCATCCCAGGTCCCTGCTGTGGAGCACGCTCCAACGGTTCTGCTTAAGTGGTTTTGATAGTTCTGAAATGCTGTTGATTTCACTTCTCCAAGGATGAGGAAATCCTTTCAAGGTCCATTGGCTAACATAGTCCACCTTAGAGTCTCCATTCACCCAGATTTGCTGACAATGCTTAGCTGGGACAGTTGTCCAATTTGTTCTGCCCTCCAACCCCTGCTATGGTACCAGATGTCCTTTACAGGCTCCAGTGGACTGTGATATTCCCAGTGGGCATCTGGGCATGTTGTCCACTGCACTGTCCAGCAACTGAGGAGGGCCAGTTGTGGCACATGCGCTCCACGGTCAGAGTACAGATCTTGTGTTTCTTACCGTGTTTGGAGTTCTGAGTCCAGTGATCCAGTTGTGGTTGTCCCCAAAGAAACCTCGCCAGAGCTGACTCCAACCTGACTGCTGTGTGTGCCAGCCATTGTGGGGTCTGGCTCAGTCTGTCATCCACATCAGGTTACACACACTGGTGGTTGCAGTTGCTGAGTCAGTTCTGTCTCCAGCCCCATCTTTTACACAAACCAACGTATGCTGTGGTCCAGCCCAACCCTACCCACTACATATTCCACCTTCGGGGACACCAACAGGAACTGTAGCCCAATTGGAGCAACCCCTAATAACTCCCACCAGGCTTGCCCCCAGCCCTGGTCCTGGTCCATACCAATATATGCAGCAGACTGGTTCAGTCTGTCCCACATCCCTTTCAGCTCTCGTATGGGTGCTTAACCCACACAACCACAAAATCCAGCCCATAGTTATGCTGGCAGGTGCTACCACCTGTCCTGCCAGGTCCACCTCAACGCTGGTTCTCATGCTCATTGGAGGGAGTTGCAGCCCGTCAGGGAGGTGCCCACTTTCCCTACTAGGCCCACCCCAGTCCTGGATCTTGCACTTTCCAGGTGGTTCTGCAGCCTAATGCAACAGGACTTGCCCCAAGTCCCAGTACTTGCCAGCTGGTGCTGTGGCAAAGCCCACCCAGCCTGCATTTACCCTTTCCCCTGCATGCACCAGTGTTATGTTCATTTTTCTAGAGAGAAAACCCCTAGCTTTGGTCTGTGACACAAATGAGGTCCAAGTCAGAACTGGGAGTGCAATGGGAGCACAGACAGGATCAGGTGGCGGCCATCAGGGAGCGCGGTGGCAGGCTGCGTGGAGGCAGTGACAGGGTCATTTGTAGAGGCCCAACCCTTGGCCGGGGCCAGGAGGAAGCCCACGCCAGGACATCTTCGTGCTTCCAGGGCTATGGAATCCAGTTTTACGGACCCCAGGAGTATTATGAGGGCGAGTGGTGCAACAACCAGCGCAACGGGTGGGGCCGCATGTACTACAGCAACGGCGAGATCTACGAGGGCCAGTGGTGGAACGACAAACACCACGGAGAGGGCATGCTGCGCCTGCGTGAGTGCCCCGCCCCGCCCCGCCCCTCTCGACCACGCCCCCTGACTGGCCACGCCCCCGTGCGTGGAGCACCTGGCCTTGGGCAGCCAGCCTGAAATAAAGTGAGTTAGAGGCCCAGGCTGCCCTGCTGGGAGCTTATACTCTAATAATGGAGCCAAACCCAACAATCCACAGCTCACTTCACCCTCACAATCCTGTTGGGTAGAAGCCCTGAACATAGTCCGAGAGGTGAAGACAGGCCGTCAAGGTCCAGAGCGCAGTTAGTCCTGGGTCACAAGTCCTGAGGAATTCTCCTTGGAAAACAGAAAGGTGTGTTGGGAAATGGCAAAGGAGCTGGGGGCAGGGCTGTTTAGCTTGAAGCAAGGCCAAGGAATGAGGCCGCTGGAGGAGGTATTGGCATGCAGAGACCTGGAGGAAGAGGAGCCAGGTCCAGGGTGGAGGGAGGAGACCCATGAGACCAAGGCCTGCCTGCTCTGCAGTCTGCTGGGCTTTTCAAACTCCCAGTGGAGCTTATCGCTGCCCTGGGCTCCCCTCCCCTGGGCGCAGCCCTTCCTGTGGCCTTAGGGGCCCAGATTCCCCTGCACTCCCTTGGGCTTCAACGTCCCTCCCCCGCGTTCTGCCTAAGAAACAGCACTGTGGCTGCTCTGTCTCCCCAAGGGCCCAGCACTCAGTAGGTGATCTCCCCCAAAGGGCCCAACACACAGTAGGTAATCTCCAGGAGCAGTGATCCAGAGCCCAGTCTTTTGCACAGCCAAGGCCAGGCAGGGGAGCGTCTAGGTGGGTCAGGCCAGCTTTCCTGTGCCACCCAAGCCCCCAGCTTGCCTTCCTGAGCACCCACTACTGTTGTCAGCCTGCACACCTGCTCAACAGGAGAACCCTAAATGTGTCCTGAATGGAGCCCCCCGGGATCAAATCCTGGCCTGAGAGCGTCCCAGCAGTGCAAAAAGTGATTGGCAAAACCTGTGCTTCCATGTCCTCCTCTGTAAAAGTCAAGATAAAAAGAAAACCATACTGCCTCCCAGGGTTGCTGTGAAGGTCAAGCAGGGCTTATTTGTACAGTGTCCAGCTTGGTCCTGACAGTGGCCAGGAGGTGGCTGGAACAATCTGCCACCATAACGGAAGGGCAGCCTGGCATGGTGACCACGGCTCACACCTCCCCTCCCCCATCCTCTCCCAGGGAACGGGAACCGCTACGAGGGCTACTGGCAGAGAGGCCTGAAGAACGGCCACGGGCGCTTCTTCCACCTGGACCACGGTCAGCTGTTCAAAGGCTTCTGGGTGGATGATGTGGCCAAGTGCGGCACCATGATCGACTTTGGCCGTGATGAGGCGCCACAGCCCACCCAGTTCCCTATTCCTGAGGTAGGCAGCACTGCCAGAGCCACACCCAGAGAGAGAGAGAGAGAAAGAGAGAGAGAGAAGCTGTTCGGCTGGGGAACAGACAGGGTTTTGTTTTCAGTCAGGAGGTTGGCCAGGGCCTTCAGTGCTCCCCAGACCAACTCTCTGCTTCTCCCTCCAGCTCAAAGTTCTGGACCCCGACGGTGTGCTGGAGGAAGCCTTGGCCATGTTCAAGAAGACGGAGGGAGAAGAGGGAGAGTGACACCAGGTGACACTTAGATCGCTGGGGTCTCCAGAGGTTTTGTGGGTACGCCCTGAGCGCAGCAGGTCTCTGGCCTCCTGCAGTCTAGCCCATCTCCCTGCTTTCCAGGTCTTCCCACAGCTCCCTCATCACCCACTGCACCCACTGCGTGAAGCACGGGTGGGGGTGTGGAGTTGGGGACCAACTGGTCTCTAAATGCCCGAGTGAGGCCGTGGCTCCTGGCCTCCACATGCATATCTTTCCCAGGGGCCAGCCAGTCCTCGCCCATCCCATGGTGGATGTGAACAAGGCTGTGGGGAGGGGGCAGTGGCACAGCAGCATCCATCGAATGCTAGCTCCCCCCACGCCTTCCCTCCTGCAGAGAACACCAAGGCTTAAGGAGGCACAGCCCGTGGCACCCAACTGCTTGGATCTGTGAGGCTCCTGCTGCAGGAGGGGTAGGCAGCCCATGGCCCCTCAGAGAGTACTTCCAGCACCAGGCAGTGCTTGGCCAGCAGGTGGACGGTGTCTCTCCCAGGCGTGCCTTGGGGACCCTCCTGTGACAGCCTTTGTCCTAGGGCCTCATTCCAAAGCTCATGAGAATAAAGAACCCAGTGGGGTAGGTGGTGCCTATGGTGTGTGGTTGGGTAGGTGGGAGTGCAGGGGGATTTCAGGTGCCAAAGAGGAAAGGGGTTCCCAGGCTGCATGGCTGTGCCTTGGGGTGGGGTGGAACAGGTGGCTCCTCAGACCTCTGAGTGAGCCCAAAGTGGAGAGCTAACCCACTCCCCACCACTCTGGCCACTGAGATTTGAGATTAGAACTTGACCTGGCTTCTCAGCCTAAGACAGGGTTTCACGACCTTGGGGTGAGTGAGTGTGCAAGGATTCCCATCAAAGTCATCTGGGGTGAGGCCCTGGACTCACTGGCTCTTGCTTTTTTTTCTTCCTTTCTTCTTTTACCCCTTAATGTTTACTTATTTGGAAGGTAGATTCAGAGAGGGAGAGGGTTAGAGAGAGAATGAGCTAGGGCTGCACTAGGCCAAAGCCAGGAGCCAGGACAAGGAGCTCCATCTGGATCTCCCATATGGGCGGCAGACTTGTAGTTGAGCCTTCGTCCATGACTTTCCCAGGCACATTAGCAGGAAGCTGGGACTGGGAGCGGAGCTGGGACTTGAACCTGATCACTCTGACGACACCTGTCCCCCCACCCCGCCCAAGGCGTTGATAACAGCTGCAACAGTGCTAGGGCCTGTTCTGAGGGTGACCCTGCTCCAGCCCCTGGGAGGAACTTTGCGGAGTTCTCATCTGGGCTGCACTCCTGAGAGGTGAGAGGGATGAGGGACTGCCGTGCCTTGGGTCAGACAGCTGCCGTGGGAATGCCAGAGCTGGCTGTGTGCTCCTGGGGAGTGTCAGCCAAGTCCTGTTTTCCAGGTGTCCTTGCCAGAAAGATGGGACAGTGTTACTCTCACACCCTGTGCCGATGAAGCAAGGCTCCATTCCCCAGCCCCTCCCCTATCCCAGCTGCCTGGTAATATTCAGCGATGTGTGGGGAGGTTTTTTGGTTGTCACAAATAGTGGGGGAAGAATGGAGAATGTCACAGAATCTAGTGGGAGGAGGCTGAAGATGCTGCTAAACCTGCCACAGGGTAAAGATGGCATAAAAGTACAGTTCAGGGGTAAATGTGGGGTCAGAAGTTACAGTCCCACCAGGAAAACGTGCGTCCCCTCATTGGAGTGCCGGGGTTCGAGTCATGCCTTTACTTCCCGTCCAGCCTCTTGCTAACGTGCATCTTGGGAGGGAGCAAGCAGTGGCTCCCAGTACTTGAGCCCCTGCCACCTGGATTGAGCTCCAAGTTCTCAGCTTTTGGCCTGGCCCAGCCACACTACTGGGGGCATTTGGGAAATGAGCCAACAGATGAAAAATCTGTCTCTGCTTTTCAAATAAATGTAAATACAATTTTAATTTTTTGTTGTTATTGTTTGAAATAGAATTATCAAGCCCTCCCGCAGCTGACAGTGTTGAGGAACTCTGAGATACTGTTGAGGGATCTTGAGAACCTCAGTGGGGGCCTGGCTCGTGGTCAAGGAGCAACAGCGGCTGACACGGAGCTTCTCTGTGCTCCCCAGGCCAGATGACCTGACCTGGACGCAGCTGTCCACACCTGCACCAGGGCTGGCCCGGGCTGTAAAAGGAACAGGAAGCAGCAGGTGCACCAGGGTCGGCGGACAGCTTTGCAAGCCTCCTCTCGTGGGGCAAGATGGAAGGTGTCCTGCTAACGGTGGTGTCTAGGAGAGGAAATAGGGACTTGAGGGCTAGCAAGCTGATGCTGGGCTTACACGCAAGTCTGTCTGCTCTGTCAGGTACCAGGGGTGAGGATGGGGGAGTGTGTTTGCATTGGCTGGCAATACAACGGTGGTTGTCTCTGGGGAAGCCCAGCTGGGGATTCCGGGATGAATGGGAGAACAATTGCACTGTCATACAGGAAACCACGTGAATGTGCTGCTTCCTGTATTCAAACTGTCAGTAAAAGTGAAATTAAAGAGACTGTGCTCTTAACTGCCAGCATGTGCCCCAAGTTTCCCTGGGGGTATGAGTCCCTGGGTGCATGTGAGGGATTCCAGGCACCATGCCTTGACCAACTGGAACCACAATCTCCGGGTGATAGTTTGGAAATCTGCATCTTGCAAGCCCAGTTGGTGATTCTGGAGAAAAGCTTAGGAGCCCAGGAAGTTACTCCAGCCACACCCAGGGTTTCTACAGAAGTTGGGTTCTCTCTCTCTCTCTTTTTTAAAAGATTTATTTATCTTTATTGCGAAGTCAGATATACAGAGAGAGGAGGAGAGACAGAGAGAAATATTGTCTGTGTAATAATTCATTACCCAAGTGACTGCAATGGCCAGTGCTGTGTCGATCTGAAACCAGGAGCCAGGAACTTCCTCCAGGTATTCCACGCGGGTGCAGGGTCCCAAAGCTTTGGGCTGTCCTCGACTGCTTTCCCAGGCCACAAGCAGGGAGCTAGATGGGAAGTGGAGCTGCTGGGATTAGAACTGGTGCCCATATGGAATCCTGGTGCGTTCAAGGCGAGGACTTTAGCTGCTAGGCTACAGTACTTGGCCCAGTTGGGTGTCTTAAGATGCAGTGTCCCCATCCTCTCTGGGATGCACAGCTGTGCCTCGTCCTGGCGCACGGGCCACAGGGTACCTGGGTGAGGAGGCCGCACGCTGACCTGGCCTAGGACGCTGATGCTCATTGTCGAGTTGGCACTGCAGGACCAGAGCAAAGATCAAACCCTCCACTTTACGCACTCAAGGCTTGCAGCTCCAGGAAGCATCTGGGGAACAATAACAGGAGGAATTTAAGTATGAGGCCAGTCAATGCCATGCCCGGCTTGTTCTTGTTTTAAACAGTAGACATTTATTTCCTCAGTTCTGGAGGCTATGGGTCCTGGTGGCATCTGAGTTGGTTTCAGGTGGAATCCCTGTTTCTGTCCAGCAGGCAGTGCCTTCTTGCCATGTCCTCACACGGCCCTTATCTGTGCCTGCAGCCCTGGCATCTTCCTCTTCTTCCACGCAGCTCGCCTCTTTGGCTGGAGCAGTTACTCTTACAAAAACGACTGGGTTCCTGGTGCAGACAGAAACCTCAAACTCAAGTCTATATGGCTAGGCAACCCAACATGCAAATGAAACTGGCTTGGACACAGAACCACAGGGAGTGGTGGAACTGGCAGAAACAGGCGCCGGCGAGGAGCACAGCTGCCGTGCAACTCTTGATCATGACGACTTTTGTTTTTTAAAGAGATTTATTCACTTGTATGAAAGGCAGAGTTACAGAGAGCCAGAGAAAGAGATCTTGCATCTGCTGGTTCAGCCCCCAAATAGCCTCAACAGCTGGGACTAGGCCAGGCCAAAACTAGGAGCCAGGAGCCTCACCCAAGTTTCCCACAGGGGTAGCAGGGGTCCAAGCACATGGAAGGCCCTCTGCTGCCTTCCCAGGCACATGGGGAGGGAGCTGGACCAGAAGAGAAGCAGCTGGAACTTGAAGCAGAGCTCCTATGAGGATGCAGGGATTGTAGACAGCAGTTTAATGGGTTGTACCTTGATGACATCCCTGCTCACTCCTGTTCTCTAAGATGGTGGGTTTCATCTTTCAGGCAGAGCCTAAAATTAGCCCAGGTGAGATTGTGTGGAAACATCTGCTCAGAGTCAGACTTCCCCGGTTTGAATCCTGGTGAATGGGTTCCCTTTTCTGGGCATCAGCCCTGCCAGGACGCTGAGGATGGCGCAAGCCAGCACTCCGTGCTCAGGAAGGCATCTGCAGGTCAAGGCGTGTCCCCACGGAGGCAGTCCCCCTAAGGCGCAGCGCCTGCAAAGTGCACGCCTGATGAGAGTGAGAACCTCTCTGAGAACCCCAGCCACGAGGGCATCCTGCAAAACCGCAGGCCTGGACCCTTCAAAGGTGTGGAAATGCTGCAGGTGACAGGAAGCCCAGGTGCAGGAACTCAGTGCAGGGCCTGTGGAAATCGCTTGGAAGGACACTGCAGAGATGAGGAAACGTGACAGGATCACATCAAGGTCGGCTTCCTGAATCTGGTTGCTGAATTGCCATTAGGTAACAGAATGCTCTTGGTGTTAGGAGAAGTGTTAAGGCATAAAAGACCACATTTTTCCTGGTTTGTTTTTAGCATTTACTTATTTTTATTGGAGTGGCAAATTGACAGAGAGACAGAAAGATCTTCCATCCCAAATGGTCTCAACAGCTAGAGCTGAGTCATCAGAAGCTGGGAACCAGGAACTTCCTCCAGGTCTCCCACGTGGGTGCAGGTTCCCAAGGCTTTGGGCCGTCCTCGACTTTCCCAGGTCACAAGCAGGGAGCTGGATGGGAAGTGGAATGGCTGGGACTGGATGCAGCTGCCTGGTCAGTTCCAGCTGCAGCCACATCTCTTACATGAACCCAACAGGTGCTGCAGCCTAGCACTACTGACACACATGAAATCTGATGCTGGGAGTGGGCCTGTAGGGGGAACTATGCAGACTCTGCTGCAAAGCTATGGCTCTCACTGCTAAGTGTGAGAGCCAGGGTGGTGGAAGAACCAGGCTGAACAAAGCTGTAGCACCCCTGAGCATGCGTGGGGGCTGGGGGCAGGCTGGACTGAGCTAGGCCCTAGTATACAATGACACTTGTGAGAGCTAGAGTAGGTATGTGATGGGATGGACAAGGTTGCAGCCCCTGTTGATCCATCTGAGAACTAGGCAAGGTGTAGGTCAAGTAGGGCTGGGCTGTTGTACCTCCCATTAAGATCCGGAATGGATGTATACCCCTGCCTGGCATAGTCTACCCCAAGACCTGGCCTTCGCATGTGCTAGTGGCTGCTATGGCCCAGCCCAGCCCAACCCACCTCTGGACCTGGTTCTTGGGTGTGCTGGTTGGTATTGCAGCCTGGCCCAACACAGCCTGTTTCAAACCCCAGCTCCTGTTAACATTGGTGAATTACGGGGTTGTGCCTGGCTCAACACATTAACACCCCTAGCTTCAGGTTAACCAGCAGGTTCTACAGTCCCACAAGGGTAAGCCCACAAGTCCCCCACAGAATCTGTCCCCAGACCTGGTTCTATAGTCAGTTGTTGCCATGGCTCAGCCCTGCACAGCCCACCCCCTGCCCTAACACTCACTGGTAGGTTCTGTGGCTTAGGCCTGCAAGGTAAGCACTGCACTAGCTTTCACATGTGCCAGAGGGCAGAGGGTGATGCTACACAGCCGACTGGGTCTCCCAGGCGGGTAGGTGCCTTGATCTGATCCAGACATGCCCTCCAATTCTCCTTTATAAATCACCCCATCTAAATTCCACTGTTGACTTGTAAGTGTAGTGGCTTGGCACGTGGGAGCTCGCTCTCCCTGTCATTCCTCACCTGTGAGGGCAGTGGTCCAGTCCTTGGAGTCTCCCATGAGACATTCCACACCTGTCAAACACTCCCCCAGCAACCCCCATTCGCACATATCCTCAAACTCCCTTCCCCAGGGAATCTAAATCCCCTTCCACTGCCACATGGGTCCCAGTGGCAGATTCTGGTCTGATCACCAGGACTGCACCAGGGTACAAATAAACCTTAAAACACAACAAAAACAAAACAAAACAAAAAACACGTGGCTGCTAGAGATGGTGTGGTGCAGAGTGTTAACCCTCTGCTTCTGGTGCCAGCACTCCATATTGAAGTGCTGGTTTGAACTGCTGCAAGGCAGCTGATGGCAGTCATGTACTCTGACCCCTGCCCCTCATGTGGGACCCTGGAGAGTGCATGATTCTTGGCTTGGACTAGCGTAGCCCCAGGTGTTGCAAACATGTAGGGAGTGAGCCAATAGATGGAAGATCTTTCTGATGGTGCTGCCTTTCAAATAAGCTTCAAAAACAAAACAAGGTATATATATACCGAATCTAAGAAAAAAGCCCATAACTCAGAAGGGAAAATAAACACATAAGGCCTCATCATTCACGGTTCAGTATTTGCGAATTCGCTACACACTGAGGCTGAACAGCCCTGGTCTGGTTTCAGCTCCGTGATTATAAATGGGTGTCATTTTTACGATTTATTTAGTGTCACATTTTTCACAAATTGTCCTGTTGGCGATTCTGCTGTTTAAAATGGTCCCCAGGCGACACAGCTGAGCGCAGGCGAGCGCAGGCTGGATGCACCATGTGCATTTGCCGAGTTTTGCTCAGGCTTGAATCGCAGTCCTGCTGGCTTTGAGTTCAATGAATCAACGATATAAAGATGTCTTTATACAAAACACACCTAAAACGAGGACACGTCTTCACGGGCGGGTGGGAACCTCATGACCAAAGGGCAGCAGCCAGCCAATCTCATGTCTCCCCCAGAGCAGGGGCCCGGTGTTTGGTAATCCAGAGTTTACACAGAATCAGGACTGTGACACAGGGTCCTTCAAAAATGTGTGGAAAAACAGAATGAAACAACTTTTCAGTGTGAAAAAATTTGCCATTATTTTTTCACAATATGTATTATCCATGACCCTTATACATACTTTTTGACATTTTTGGGCACCCATTGTTAGGTTCTTTTTAATTCCAATTTTTCATGTACTTTTTGAAGTATCCTCACCTATTCCAGTTACTATTTATGCATTTTTTGCTAGGCTTTAAATTTTTCAAAATTAAAAAAAAAATGCTGAAAAGAGCAAAACAGAACACCATACAACAAAGATTCTGCTTAGAGGCCCCCAGATGGAAGATACCGAGAAAAACCACCCCAAACCCAAGAAAGAGATCCAGGCAGGAGGCGTCCCTTCGGAATATATTTATGTGTACACACACACATGCACACGCTCGATGCAGAATAGGAAGGAGGTCAAGATGGAAGGGACAGGGAGCACCCAGGTACTACTGGCACGGGGAGCGGGGAGGACTGGGCAGCGTCTCCACTGGCTCTCCACCAGCCCTCCCTTGCTCCTCCCAAGAGGCGGGCCTGGGGCTGCACACCAGCAAGTGCTTTTCCTCTGACTTCGAGGAAAGTTTCAAAATGTAGCCATCTCTTTTACAAAAAGCCTCTTTCCTCTACCCCTTGAAGAAGCCCAGCTCCCTACCCAGGTTGTCCTTGAGGCTGTGGCAGGGCAAGGTCACAGGGAAGGGAGCCAGGCCAAAGCCCTGAGGGAGGGCTGCAGAGGGTTCAGGCATAGTGGCTGCCGGGTGTCAGGGGGTGATCCCCTCTGTGGTCCATTTGGTCCTGCAGGCGGGCAAACTCAGCCAGCTCACTCAGCTCCTGGAACTGCCGGTCCGTCTTGTGGCTGACCAAGGAGCGGTAAAAGTGCACAGCGAAGACGATGAAGACCAGGCCGAAGGGGACCATGATGGTGGTGGAGGCGATGGCCGCCGCCTGGCCTGGGGTGATGCCAGAGCTGTTGTTGGAGGCCGCGCTGTCCAACGGAGGCTTGCAAGTGGGACGTTGCTGGCCCGACTGCTTCTTAAGGGGCAGAAACTTGACCCAGCAGAGCAGCACAACCTCGGCGAGGAAAAGCAGTGTGCCTATGACGGTGGAGAAGGCCCAGGCCAGCTCAATGTGGCGATGCATGCGCTCATGGGGTGACTCCTTGACCGAGTTGAGGTTGTGCACGTTGCTTACGGCCTCGATGTTGGGCAGGATACAGGTGCTGATCATGAGTGCAAACAGGTGCACGGCCACCAGCACTGTGGTGCAGGCACTGAAGGCGATCAGCAGCCCCGGGGGGTAGTCGTGCTCAGGGTCCAGCTGCACCTCCACCATGGCCACCTGGGGAGAGGGGACAGAGGCATTGAGTGTCACGGCCCGGAGAGGTCTCTCCTCTCAACAGGTTGGGGCCCTGGGCAGTTCACAGGTTGATAATAGGACAACAAGGGCCACCCATTCTGGGCTGGGAGATGGGGGACAAAAACAGAGCAGGCTTGGAGCCAAGGCCCCCGCAACAGAAGCAATAGCTGAGCCCTCAGGAAAGTCATCTAACCTCTCTCAGCATCAATATTCTAATCTGTAAAATAGGCATATATTAATTCACTTAGTTATTTTAACAATGAAATGAGAGTCCCTGGTTCACAGTAAACACCTCCTAAACTGTAACATTTGCCCTTCCAAGTGGTTAAACTGGCAAATTAAACAGAATGCATCAAGAGGAAAAAACAGCCACCACAACACCTGTCAGCCCCCTTCTCCCGCCCAAACAGGGCCTTCTTCCTGTCCTGCACTGAGGACAGTGAGCAGCAAAGGGGCTGGACAGGTCACACTCGGGCTGCTTCTGAGAACACCACGTAAAAACCCACAAGGAACCCAGGGAGGCTTCCCCGAAGAGTAGGGCCACAGTCCTGGTGTGGGCCGAGTGGCCAGCAGCCTGGCCTGCCTCCTCTCTAGCCCCAGGGCTGCTGGCCACTCCGCAGTTCCAGGAAACGGGCACGTCAGGGGTCACCAGGGACATGCTCCAGCTCTGCCACGCTCAGGGGTCGCAGAGGTCTCCTCCCCGCTCTCTACCCTCTTCCCTTGCCTGGGCCTTGCAAACTGCCCCCATGCCCAGGAGCAAGCTCATCAGATCTGGACGGGGAACAGCAGGCGGTGGGCAAGCAGCCAGGGTCTGCCCGCATGGGCTGAGGACCAAGGGCAACTGGCACCAACGTCAACAGTACTGTCAGGGATGATGATGGCAGAGAGGGGGTGGCTAAGGCTGCAGCTGCCCCCAGCCTCACGCTGGGGAGGGGGCAAGCTCCCCTTCCACCAGACTAACTCCACCCTTTGTGACGCTGTGTAACCCAGGCAGGTTCATTTTTCTGTGCCTCCTATGCCACATCTGAACATGTCTCAGTGGGTGGCTGTGAAGGTTAAATATGTTCATTCACATAACGTACATAGTACCCAGCAGTCGGCAAGCCTTCAGTACAAAAGTGAGCTTCGTCATTCTTCAGTTTAGGCACCCCTGCAACCCCAGCGTGTTTCCACACAGTGCTGCCGGATGGAAGGCACACTGCAGCAGAGAGCCAGGGCCACACTGGCAGGTGTGGGCTCCGCTGTGCGACTTTGGTCAAGATCTTGCCCTCTCTGGGGAAGGAGGGGAGTGTTATGATCAAGGTCACTGCCGAGTGCTGACTTAGGGCCACGCACCTCGTGGGAACCACAGGCCCTCTCCAGGTAAGCAGATTCACCGCACTTTTCGGGTCATTTCAATGCATTCACAGAATTTTGCCTATAAAAGTCCCCACAACCAATGAGACAATGTCCTTTTCAGCTTTGGAGTTTACAAAACAGCTCAAGCGCGTATAAATTTGGAGCAGCGCCATGAGGGTTTCCAGTGTTTTTACCATCGCTGGTGGCCAAAGGCCAGTCCTGCGAAGTCCCAGCACACGTGGTGAAGGGGCAGTGGCAGCGTGCAGGCTGTCAGGACATGGCAGGTCAAGGGCCACATCCCTTGGCTGGCTGGTCTCTGCTGCAAGCCAGGCCTGCTGCCCATATCCAGCCTCTGCCGTCTGCTGTTTCTTCCCCACCCCCAGCACTTCCTCTTCCTGTCTGGACCTGTTGCCCCGGAACCTGAAACCTGAGGGACAACCTGGCAGGAGAGGCCGTGCTGGGCTGGCCAGGCTCCCAGGACACTTCACAGGGCAGCAGCTGGGTGCTCAGAGTGCACATGGAGGGAGCTGTGTGCAGGTAATACCTGCTGCCTACCTGGGGCCTCCCCCACATCCCACCCAGCCCAAGGAGGCTCAGCTCCTCCTCCAGGCACCCCATCCACCCAGCCCCCATAAACTGGCCCCTCCTGGGCCAAGTTCAACCTCCCTATGTCTTCGTTTGCGAGTCACTGTGAAGATCCAGTGGGTGGGTACCGCTTCTTGACCTTCTGGCTAAGATCAGGTGTAAGATCCAGTGGGTTAATGAGTAGAGAGCCTTGCAATTGCACCTGCATGTTCTCCTTCCTTTATAGGAGTTTGGGCTTAGGCAGGGGCGTCAGCCACCCCCACAGGTTCCCCTGCTAGGAGTAGGTGGTGGGAGTTCAAACCCCAGGGCTCCCTAAGCCACAAGCAGGGCCACAGGAAGCACTTCCTTCTCAAGGTCATGGGCAGACTAAATGAGGGTTTGGTGTGTCAATTGTTTTACATAAGGCCCGCCACAGAAGAGGCCCCATAAAACATTGAAAAACACAGAGCTTGAAATGGAAGAGAAAAATAATCTCTGGCGCCCTGGACGTCATCTGCCTGGCTCCAGACTTCAGCAGAAGGGAAACGTGCACCCCAAGTACACCTGGGCAGCAGACACCTCTGCCAGACAGCTCAACCCGCAGCACACCATCTGTCACACCCACGGGGTGTGGGGCCAGAAAAAGCAGCTGTTGGGACATACCCCTCCTAGGGACACCAAAGCCAGTCAGGCCTCCGGACACCTTGGGGCCCCTGAGGAAGGGAGCAGGGCCTGCTTCCACCCCAGATGAAGCCCCAGCACTCCTCTGGACCCTACTGTTCTGTTCCCCTAACTCCACCACACAGGCTGGCTCGAGTCGTACACTGGGGATGGAGTTGAGGCCACCCAGTAGCGCCCAAGACCATTTCAGAGTGAAAAAGAACAGCTGGCACCAGTCACAGATCCTAATAAAAACCGTTCAGAAGCACAAACGCCACTGGCTCTTTCCAGAATGCTCCCCGCTTGGGCAATTTCTCCAATGGGTAGGGAAGAGAGGAAAAGCCAGTGGGTCCTCGCAGGAATGGGCAGCTGACTCCTAGGGCCCAGCAGAGTCCCAGAGAGATCGGATCAGATCAGATTGCGTGCAGCTTCACAAAGTAAATATAGCCCAAGTGCTGGGCCCGTGATCCCAAAATAACAGCTCCCAGCCAGCCGGCCACAGGCCTGTCTGAACCTGGCCATGAGGGTACTAACAGAGCAGGATGCAGGACAGGGCACCAGCCCACCCGATGGGTGCAGGGACCCCCCAGGGAGGTGATGGAACTCCAGCAAGATTTAAGAGGATGATGGGCTCTGTGGAAGGCAGGGCCTCGCTGACAGGCATTGCCCATGCTACCCAGATGCCAAACAGCCATCTTCATGGCTGCTGGGCTCCACGGAGAACCTGAGCCCCTGGCACCTTTGGCATGACCCCAGCACCCAGAGCTTCGCTCTCCCAGTCCCCCGAGTCTTCCTTGGGTTCATCCCCCTTGGAGTATCAGCGGTTGCAGCCTTGGAACTCAAGTGGCAGGGATACTAGAGCTGTCTGAACCTGCTGGTCCCACATCAAACGTAAGTCATCTATTTAGAGAGCATCAAGGCCTTTGCCAGCAGGGGACACTTCCGACCACCACAGGCCAGTGTTTCAATGTTTCTGTAAAAAGTTCTATAAATAGAACTTTCTTAACAGAAACAGTTTCACCAAACAATACTGTCCTTAAAACATGGCCAAAGTCTACTTTCACAGGGCACAATACATTCCGTTTTTTTGTTTTATTTTTGCTTCATTCACCTCTTACTTCACTGGAAAGAAAAATGCGGGCCACAGCTTACTCAAGGCCATGACAGACTGAAGGTGCAGGTGAGGGAAGCGAGGGTCAAGCCCAGACTTGCTCTGCTTCGGCTAATCCTGACTTCTTCAGGCTCCGATGTTTCCTGGCCTCTCGGCAGAGAACTGGAGCCATTCACTCATTCACAAAAATCTTACCGAGCCCTTACCCTCTAAGATCTTTGCTGGAGGGCCCAGTGCAGTAGCCTAGTGGCTAAAGTCCTTGCCTTGCACACACCGGGATCCCATATGGGCACCGGTTCTAATCCTGGCTGCTCCACTTTCCATCCAGTTTGTAGCCTGGGAAAGCACTCGAGGATAGCCCAAAGCTTTGGGACCCTGACCTGTGTGGGAGACCCAGAAGCTCCTGGCTCCTGGCTTCAGATCAGCTTAGCTCTGTCCATTGTAGCCACTTGGAGAGTGAACCAGTGGATGGATCTTTCTCTCTGTATCTCCTTTTCTCTGTATATCTGCCTTTCCAATTAAAAAAAAAAAAAAAAAAAAAAACCTTTGCTGGAGATTCAGAGGGCAGTGAGGTGACGAGGTGACAAGATTGTCCACCTGGGCTGGGAAACAGTCTGCAGGCCCTGAATGCCAACATTTTCCCACTGCAAGGAGGATTTTCAAGACGGGCTCGCCCCGTGCACCCCAGCCAGACATGCTCAAAGCACACAGTGATGTCTGCTGTTTCTGCCTTAAGCCAGTTCTATTTCTTCAAATTAAATATAAGACCTCTGTAAAAGGTCAAGGAATGAGCCCAGTGCAGTGGCCTAGCAGTAAAGTCCTCACCTTGAATGCACCAGGATCCCATATGGTCACCAGTTCTAATCCTGGCTGCTCCACTTCCCATCCAGCTCCCTGCTTGTGGCCTGGGAGAGCAGTAAAGGACGGCCCAAAGCCTTGGGACCCTGCACCCGTGTGGGAGACCTGGAGGAAGTTCCTGGCTCTCGGCTTTGGATCGGCAGAGCTCCGGCCATGTGGTCACTTGGGGAGTGAATCATTGGATGGAAGATCTTCCTCTCTGTCTCTCCTCCTCTCTGTATATCTGACTTTGCAATGAAAATAAATAAATCTTTCAAAAAATGTTTTAAAAAGGTGGAGGGAGGAACAAAGGCAGGGACCTCTGTGTCCTTCTGGTGTTTTGGGGACAGCCCAGGGATCCCCTGGGAACCTGAGCAGTAGAAGAGACCTAATGCCATTTATTGGTTGGTTTGTTCTTTCAATTCTTCCATATTGTATATAATTGCAGAAATTTTTTCTTTGAGAGGCAGAG